TGACTTTCTTTAAAAGAAGGAAAACTGAAACATATTCGTTGCTGCATGGATTGACAATAGCCATATATATAAGCTATAAAAGATACACGTGTGTGTGTGCATAAATTACACGCTCCCCGTTTTGATGTGTGGAGGCCCCTGTACTTTGGGTCCTGCGGGGCTATTTTAGTGGCTGGAGCCCAGGTGTGGGAATAAAGCCTTCCATCCATGACCCAGGGCAAATCTCTGATCCTCTCTATCTATGAGTGGGGTTGCTCCACACCCAGGTATTTTAAGGCGATATTTGACACAGATACACAAGTAGTACAGGAGTTATAATAGTGATATTTCCCGTTTCTATCCTGGGCTTTTTTTTTTTTTTTTTTAATTTAAATGTGGATATTCAGGCTCAGATTATTTTAAGACGGTGCTTCCTACCACCCTGGTGCAAACGGCGCACTTTCAGATATGAGAGGGCTTGTGGCAGTGTTAGTGAAGGAACTAAAAGATTCTAAATATACTGAAGTCAGCTAAAAATAACCACACAGCACCCACTGAAGTTCCTCCTGTTGTGTGTAACTGTGCATCAAAGCACCCACGGTTCTCATCCTTTCCCTGTGCTGCCCATCAGCTGTTGGAATGAAACAGTCTTCCCCTTTCTCTGGGATTCCTTATCTTCACAGGATAGGACTGGGGAGCATTCCAGAAAGCGCTGGATCTTTCTCTGGCGACAGAAGCCAGAGCCCCTAACCTCTCATAGGGCATCGTGGCCCGCGTCGCACTGCGTTTCCTGCACAGTTGTTCCAGCTGACGGGTGTTGTGTAGCAGAATGCTTCCCCCGTTTTGGCAAAGTCAAGTTCTTCCTGGTGGCAGAAAGTTGGTTACACCCCGAGGGAAAGGTCCCTGGCCTGCCGGCTGAGACGCACCCCTGGCAGAGGACTCCTGGGCTCGAGCTCCCCTTTGAGTCCGCCCTCCCTCTCCTCCCCTCTCCGGGCCCTCAGCTCCTGGTGTCTCCAGCTCCAAAACCTGCCCTGGATGTGCCCCACTCTGTCCATCTCCTTAACCACACCCTCGTCCTGGCCCCCATCCTCTGCCCTGAATTCCTGCTTCCCCTCCTCCATGCCTCCAATCCAGCCACTGCCATGGGAACCTCCAAACACACAGACGGGATGGCTTCCTGCTTAGGGAGGTTTCCTTTGGTACCTAGAACGCCATCCGAACTCCGGCCTGGGCTCCCTGTGAGGGCCGTGTGTGACCTGGCCCCTGGGTTTTCATTCCGTTCCTCAAACACAAGCTTGTTCCCGCCTCAGGGCCTTTGCACGTGCTGTCCCCACAGCTCGCATGTTCTTGGCGTGCCTGGTTCCTTCTCGTCACTCGGTTCTCAGAGGGGCCTCCCACAGCCCGTAACTCCCGCTCTCACCCTCCCTCGTTACCCGCTTGACCCTGAGGACTACAAGATTCTGTTTTATTCGCTTGTTTACAGCCCCGTCGCCCACCCACCCACACTCACACCACAAGTGTGCCCAGGAAGTCTGGGCTCATCCGCCTCGTTATTTTCACTGCTCTGTCTCCAGGGCCCAGAGGAGTTATGGGGAAATTGGTGGGTGTGCAGTAAGTCAGTGAGTGAGGGAGTGAGTGAGTGAGTGAATAAGGGAACGAAGCCACTTGTATCCAGTCCAAGCCACGACCGAAGTCATCGTGTCAAATGCCGCGTTGCTGGGGGCTGGAATCGGACGGGGTGGGTGGTGAGAAGGGGGCATGGTGATGGAGGGGCTGGCTGCCCGGTGGCCGTGGCAGTGGCCATTGAGGCATGTGTGCTCTGTGTGCCAGGGTGAGGTTCCAGGTCAGCTGCACGGCGGGAGCCCTGCCTGGCTTCCCCGGGAGAGCTCGGGTCTGTCTGGGAGCTGCTGGGCTGAGGTGGGAGGGCAGCGCTCTCTGGACGGCCCGCCGGGGAGGATGAGGAAGGGTCCAGGCCAGGGCTGTCCCCTCCCGTCCCGGGAGCTGAGCTGAGCTGAGCTGAGCTGAGGGTGTGCTTGGTGTCGTTGCAACCGGGGGCCTGGCCTTGCGGGGAGGGCTCGTCGCCCCTGGCTTACGGGAATGTCCTGTGGTCAGTGGGCCAAGGGTAGCGGAATCTGATTCCGGCAGAGGCTGGAGAGATGCGAGTTGCTGCTCCATTTTCCCTTGCTCTGCCAGGAAAGGGGGATGTGGTTTCCGGGGTGGCAGGGTCGGGGAGTCCCCCCCAGGGCGGGCTGTGGGGAGCGGCTGCCTGTCACCTGGCGGCCTGTTTTAGCCACTTCCCCAGAGCTGGGTCACAGGGCTTAGCCACGCCCCCTCCCGAAGCCGCGGCTCTCTGTGCACAGTCCCTTTCCGGGTGGGTGCTCAGGTCCCCCCCAAACTTCCCCCAGGACTGGCCCAGGGAACCTGCTCGTACTTATACTCAGAGTTCCACCTCCTCACCCCCAAATTGCCCTCTGTTCAAAGCTTAGGGTGACAGTGTCATGAGGGTACCATGAAACCAAGGATTTAAAACAACCCGGTGAGTGAGCTCTTGCCAGCCCTGAAGCCCGGCCTGTCCAGCCTGAGCTCTAGCTGTAGGGCCCCAGGGCTGCTGCAGCCCCTCCTTGCTGGGCTGGGGGACCAGTGGGGGCCTCCGTCTGGGCCCCGGCTCTCAGGACTCGGGACATTTTCATGCTGGATACTGAAGAGGGTTTGGTTTCTCACAAGCCGCAAAGCCTCGTTCCCACACCCTCAGGGAGCGAGACCACAGAGGGCAGATAAGCACTGGCCGGACCTGCTCTACCTTCCTGGGCTGTGCGGCTGTGCAGGGGCCTAGGCACCTCCCTGCCGGCCCCTCTTATCCAGATCTCGAGCTCTACCCTTGAGGACGTGCCAGGGGTGGGGGCCCTTCTGTCCTGTAGCCACGATGGCCAGGATGCCTGGTCCCTGCCGGTGGCCACAGGGGTCTGCACCATCTCTGCCGAGCCCTGGGCAGCTGGGCCTGCGGTTTCCCTTTCTGTTCTTTTTAATAAGCACTTAAGATCAGGGAAACCACAGTGCCTGCCGCTTACTGGCTCTGGGGATTCCTGCCGTTACTTTGAAACCCTTACGCAACTCTGGAGCTTCATATCACTGATCCCACAGTTCTGATCCTTTAAGTTCCCTCCCTTCCCTCCTTCCCTCCCTCCCTCCCTCTCTCTCTTTTTTTTTTTTTTTTTTGCGGTATGTGGGCCTCTCACTGTTGTGGCCTCTCCCGTTGCAGAGCACAGGCTCTGGACGTGCAGGCTCAGCGGCCATGGCTCACGGGTCTAGCCACTCCACGGCATGTGGGATCTTCCCGGACCGGGGCACGCAGCCGTGTCCCCTGCATCGGCAGGCGGACTCTCAACCACTGCGCCACCAGGGAAGCCCCTCCTCCCTCTCTTTTTTATTCTTTCTTTTTTTCAGTTTTCTTTCTTTCCTTTTTTTAAATTTGTTTGTTTTTCTGTTCACCTGGTGATTACTATATGTTTTATTTTCACATGTGCGCGCTCACTCCAGGGCAGGGTTGCCTCCCAGGGGACACTTGGCATGTCTGGAGACATTTTGGTTGTCACAAGCAGGGGAGGGATGCTACTGGCATCTGGTAGGTAGACACCAGGGATGCAGCAGAACATCTTATAATGTGCAGGACGGCTCCCACAGCAGAGAATTCTCTGGCTAAAGTGTCAGCAGTGTCAGAATCTGCTCCAGGGTAATATAGGAATCTTCTTGAGGCAGCGGCCAGGCTTCTCCTTTCTCTGGTCTCTTTCAGCCAGAAGTGGGGAGGGTAACTGACCGGAGATGCTACCCACCGAAGGCCAGAAAGAGGCCTGGCATGGAGTAGAGAGAGCACTGGACCAGGAGACCGGCTTCCAGCCCAGCTCTGCTCTTAGGCACATACATCTGGATAAGTCACTTTGCTTCAGTGAACTTGTTTTCTCATCTGGAAAATGGAAGAGCTGAAGAACACAGGATTCTGTGACCAGAGCCAGGAGCTGAACTGCAGGCAGGTTGAAGATGTGGACCCTTTCTATTCTTGCTTCACTGCCCTGGTGGCAGCAGAAGCCCGAGGGATTCTCCAGTACCAAGAGTGCCTTAGAAACCTGGTTTGATTTTCTTCTATGCCGAACGTGTCTGAGGCCGACTCACTCCATCCTCCTTTTCTCTTGTTTAGCCAAAGAGAGTTTTCCCCAACGTTGGCCTGGGAGCCCATGGCTGGCCCAGAGGGTCACATATGGTGACTCTCTCCTGGAGCGATGTGGAGGGGATGACCCTAAGGCCAGTACTTTTCACGTGTCTAGTTTAGGCGTCAGCAGACTATGGCCCAAATCTGGCCCACCACTTGTTTTTATATATAAAGTTTTATTGGGACACAGCCATGCCCATTTGTTTACATACGGTCTACTGCTGCTTTCCTACCACTGCGAAGGTGGAGCTGAGAAGCTGGGACCAAGACCGTGTCAGTCATGAAGCTGAGAACCTTTGCTGTCTGGACCTTTATGGAAAACGTTTGCCAAAACCTGGTCTAGCTGTTCCGTGACTTAATTGTTTAGACGTCAGATCCCAGGGCATGGGCAGGAGCGAGGGGCCGGCTCAGAGGTAGGGGAAGCGAACTTCCCTGAGGGTCTGGGGGGAAGGAGGAGAGAGAGGAGGGGGAGCTGACCGACTGTAGTGGGTCATCTCAAGGCCTTTCAGGAGTCCTCACCTGAGTCCGCCCAGCCGGGCTCACCTGTGTGGCAGGTGAGCCCCGGTGTCTCGCCACCCTCCCCTGTCCTGGAGCGACAAGCGCTATGACTGCCTGGGGGTTGGGGGGGACCATCTGGCTGGGCATCACCAGCAGGACAAGGAACAAAGAACGAGAGCGAGGGGAGGGGGTTAGAGGGCACAGAGAGGTCAGGCTGGGAGCCCTGGAGCCCGGCCGTAGGCTGAAGTGACCTTGTCCTTGGGCTCAGGAGGGCAGAAAGGGAGCAACCCAGGGGCTGGGGTGGAGGTGGGGGGTGGGAGGGAGGTGTTGGCCTTTCAACAGGTGTTTGAGGATCGACTGTGCCACGCACTGCTGGACGGGATTCAGCGGTGACAGGCCCTTTGGAGCCCTCCGGAAGCTCATAGTTCAGTGGGAAGATGACAGGCCGAGCCGGCAGTGGTAGAATGACAGAGCCAGTGCCTGCTGGGAGCAAGGGCGTCCACAGTGCTGGGGGTCGGGCAGGAGGTGGTCGGGAGGTCTCACCCGGGCTAAAGCAGCTTTACTGGAAGAAGTGACAGCTCAGCTGAGCCCTGGAAGACGTTGGGTGAGCCAGGTGACAGGTATTCTAGCGGGGAGCTGTGCATGTCCAGCCCTGGAGTCCGGGAGACGGAAGCTCAGGGCCAGGGTGGACCACAGGGGTAGGGGAGCAGCGAGGAGTGAGGCGGGGACCGGGTGTCGGATCGGGGGGTCTGCACTGGGGTCCGGGTTTTGATTTAGCCAAAAGGTGAAGGGTGGGGGAAGGGGAAGCAGGGCCAACTGGGATGTGGTGGCCTAGCTTAGGGCAGCATGGGGGGTGAGGAAGAAACCCGGTGGGACATCCTGGGTTGCCCTTGGCAACAGGGAGGATGGGCCTGGAATGTGGGGGCCGATGAGAGCTGTGCTGTTAGCAGGACTGGTGGCCCAGGACCACCCCCTCACCCGCCAGCCTTGGTTAAGTCCCTGCGCCCACATCACCCCACTCTGCTCAGCCCTGCGCTGCTGGGTTTAGCACTGGGGGCTGGTCTGGCTTCAACACTGGACTTCAACTTGGCCCTTGCCAGGAGCTGCATGGGTGGTACCCGCCAGGAGATTTCAGAGGCTCTCCTGGCCTCCCTGCTGATGCTTTTTGGCTCAGGTTAATCACCTGGGGGTCTGCATTCCCGGGGCGCCTCGGCCATCTAGGGTTTAGTCTCCGCCTCCCTGCACCCCTAGTGACTGAAGACACTGGGAGTTTCCCAGTCTTGGTCTCTGAGAGGCGGAGGGTGGATCCTTGGCAAAGAGCTCGGGGCTCCACTGTGGAGACGTCGCAGGCAGGATCCTCACCTCGGGACACCCACCACGGGCCAGAGGGCTGGGGAGCTGGTCCTGTGGGTCCCGGCAGCTCCACCCGATTCTGATTCACAGAGTGAGCTGCCGCCCACGTCTGTGGAGCACGTCTGTCCCAGGCAGCGCCTCCCTGGGGCCTGTGCCGTCCTCTCCCTCCTCTAAGGACCGTGACTCAGCACGAGGTGTCCACTGACTCCACAGGGGCTGAGGTCAGGCAGCAGGGAGAACTAACTTACAGCGTGTCTCCGGACCGGCTGTTCGCTGGAGTCACGTCTCTCCGGGTCGGCTGCCTGGAGTTGCCTGTGTACCTCCGCCTCTAGGGGCATCCTGGTTGCGGGGGTGCGGGAGGCATTGTCCTTTAGAAGAAGGCTCTCTCGCTCAAGTCTCAGGGAGAGCGTGCCTGTGGCTACTTGAGCTCCAAAGAGGTGAGCGGAGGTTTAAATAACCACCACCCCTGGGCAGATGGGCTTTTGTGCTGAGCGGACAGCTGGGTTAACCCTTTCCCTGCTGTTCTCTTCTTGCAGCCCTATGATCTCCTCCTTATCGCCCCCTCCGCCCGCCGGACTTCAGATCTGACCTCAGATCCGCCTGCTGTCTCTGGAGGGGACCCCCTCCTCCCCTCCCCCGCCCCCCCGGCAAGATGCCGATCCTCAAGCAGCTGGTGTCCAGCTCCGTGCACTCCAAGCGCCGCTCCCGAGTGGACCTCACGGCCGAGATGATCAGCGCCCCGCTGGGCGACTTCCGCCACACCATGCACGTGGGCCGGGCGGGGGACGCCTTTGGGGACACCTCCTTCCTCAACAGCAAGGCTGGGGAGCTGGACAGTGAGTCCGTGGACGAGCAGGCCGCCGCCTCCTCCAAGCGCGGCCTCCTGTCCCGGAAGTTCCGGGGCAGCAAGCGGTCGCAGTCAGTGAGCAGGGGCGACCGGGATCACAGGGACGTGCTGGGCCCCCTGCGGGACTCGGCCCTCTTCGTCAAGAACGCCATGTCCCTGCCTCAGCTGAACGAGAAGGAGGCCGCCGAGAAGGGCTCCAGCAAGCTGCCCAAGAGCCTGTCCTCCAGCCCCGTGAGGAAGGCCACGGGGGAGGGCGGCCCGGAGGAGGCGGGGCCTCGGCGGAATGGGGCCTCCGCCCCCCACTCCCCAGACCCCCTCCTCGACGAGCAGGCCTTCGGGGACCTGGCGGATCTGCCCGTGGTACCCAAGGCCAGCTTTGGGCTGAAGCACGCCGAGTCCATCATGTCCTTCCACATCGACCTGGGGCCCTCCATGCTGGGCGACGTCCTCAGCATCATGGACAAGGGGGAGTGGGAACCGGAGGAGGAGGGGGAGGCCGGTTGCCATGGTGACGAGGACCCAGCAGGCGGCCCCACCCAGGCTCCCCCGCCGCAGGCGGCAGCCCCTCCCCCGGCGAGGCAGGAAGGAGCGGGGGGCCCAGACCTGCCCGCGCTGCCGTCGCGTGCGCTGCCGGAGGAGGGCTGGGCCGCGGGGGCCCCCAGCCCCGCCTCGGCCCGCAGCGGGGGCAGCAGCCACACCACGCGGGACAGCAGCTCCCTGTCCAGCTGCGCCTCGGGGGTCCTGGAGGAGCGCAGCCCCGCCTTCCGGGGGCCGGACCGGGCCCGGGCCGCTCTCCCGAGGCAGCCGGACCCCGAGTTCTCCTTCATGGACGAGGAGGAGGAGGACGAGATCCGAGTGTGAGGCCGGCTGGAGGTGGGGGGCTCTTGGCTTTGTCTCCTCCCTGTGCCCCCAGCCCTGCAAGGTCAGCCAGGAGCTCGGCTGCGGGCCCCAGACAGACCCTGGACCTCATGGATAAGGGGCGCTGGCCGAGCCTGGGGGCCCTCGGAGGACTTGGAGCTGGCTCGGGTGCCTGACTGCTTTGCACAACCTGCGCTGCCTGAGCTCGTAGGACGGGGCAGTGTTCTCGCAGCAGGACTCGGCTTTCCTCTCCCGGCCTGCAGTGGATTTCCGCTGTCAACTTGAGTCTCTGCCACGTGCAGCGATAACAGGGCAGCCAGGGGCGGCCCAGGGGCGCAAGGGCTAAGGACACTTGACCTGCCTCTTTACTCCTGGCGTTTCTGTTGTGACCGGCGGTGGCCGCCGGAATAAACGCCCGTGACGGGTCACAAGTCCCGGCCCCTCCCTCCCTCCATCCCCAGCTCCTGCACGGGGAGCCCCACGGAGGAAAGGCGGACCGAATGTGTACACTCAACGCGACCCCTTCCTCGGGGTGAGAACAAGATGCAGAACGGAAGGAAGGCCCCGGGGCATCTTGAATTTTCAAGAGGGGGCCCTTGCAGGATGACACTAGGACAGGCTGCGGCCCTTGCTCAGTCCCTCTGGGTTTGTTTGTGCTTGTTGTGTTTAAATCTTTTTAGAACGATACCAGGAACGTGTTTGTAGGCCTGCCACCAGAAGGGAAACGAATCCTTTTAGAAAACCTTTATACTAAGTGCTTCCAAACTTTATTTAGAACCGTATGGGGTGGAGGTCTGTGCGTGTCTGTCCTCGGCCCCCTCCCGCATAGCTATTAACAACAACAGTGTAGAAAATTTCTGGAAAATGATTATTAAAAAAAAGGTCATTCCTATAGGGGGATAAAACCTCTTTTGACTGGGTTGTTCAACCCCCGACTGACTACATCCCTTTCCTTTCTCAGGCCTCTGCCAGCAGAGCCCCCTTCCCCACTTCTGAGTCAGTGGTCCTGAGGGTATAGGGTTGCCAGATTTAGCAACAAAACAAAACAAAAACCAGAATGCCGAGTTAAATTAGAGTTTCAGGCATGCGAAGGATGATTTCTTAGTGTAAGTATGCCCCATGCCATGTTTGTAATACACTCATGCTAAAACATCAGTTGTTGTCTTTCTGAAATTCAGATTTCACTCTGCGCCCTTAGAACCCCACCCAAGGGGATTGAGTGGAGGTTGGGTGCGAGCCCCCAGGATTCATGGATGATGATTTTTTCTGTCCTGGCAGCAGGCTGACTCCACCTTCTCCTGTCGCCTTGCAGCCAGTGGAGGGAGGGGGACAGACAGAACCGCCACGGGGTCCAGCCAGGGCTGGCGGCGGGTGTAGCTGCCCTAGCCTCCTGAGTTTTGCCAGATCTGGACTCAGACACCACCTTAGTTCTTGAAATGGGTGCTCACTGGTTCCCAGCCGTGCAGCCCCTGCCAGCTGCTGCCCTTGAAACCCATCTAGACAGCGGTCAGTTCCAGATTCTAAACTGTATATTTTTTTTTCCCTGAAAATGTTAAAACAGCAAGGAAACATTAAAATAAAAGGCCTTACAGCATGCCTGGTGTCTGTCTCTGCTTTTTGTGGGGGAGGGGTGGATAGGAGTGAGGGTGCGGATTCAGGGTGCTGGGGCTGCCCGAGCCCCGACGGCACTCGGGGGCCTGAGGTGGCTTCTCTCTCTGTCTCTTTGGGACCCGCCCCTCCTGCACTACTCTCCAGCTTCTGGAAGGACAACGCCTCACGTGCCCATCAGCCTGGGCAGGCCCTTGTGGGCTCTGGGATTTGGTGTCCCGACTGCCACTTACCACTGGGGGCCCTCGGGCACTTAGTCATGCAGCCACTTTGTGCCTCATCCTCCCCATCTGTTAAATGGGCATCGTGCTGTTCTTACAGGGCTGGGCTGCAGACGTGGTCACTGCCGTGGTGTTTGCCAAGTTTTTTTAAATTTTATTTTATTCATTTATTTATTTATTTGGTTGCACCAGGTCTTAGTTGCGGCAGGCGGGCTCCTTAGTTTCGGCTCACCGGCTTCTTAGTTGCAGCACGTGGGCTCCTTAGTTGTGGCAGGCGGGCTCCTTAGTTGCGGTTCCAGGGCTCCTTTAGTTGCGGTTCGCCAGCTTCTTAGTTGGGGCACGCGGCCTCCTTAGTTGGTGGCATGCAAACTCTTAGTTGCGGCACGCATGTGGGATCTAGTTCGGGATCGAACTCGAGCCCCCTACATTGGGAGCGCGGAGTCCTATCCACTTCGCAACCAGGGAAGTCCCCCAAGTTGTTATTAAACCGAGGGAGATGGTGGACCCGCGTGGGGCTGCAGCCGGGAAAGGTGCCGCCCTCCTTCCCCTCCTTCCTTTCACCATCTGACCTGGAGAATCAACTTACAGGGGGTGTGGTCTCCGTTCAGCCTCGTGGCCCCGGTAGGTAGACTCTGGTGTCCCCATTTTATAGCAGAGATGTGCTCCAGAGGCCACATGGCCACCTTCTCCAAAGTCACCGAGTGGCAGAGTCAGAACGTTACTGATTCGAAACCCTTTCCACACTCACAGGCATCTCAAAAGCTTCTTTACTTGGGGAAGTGAGGAGGGGGTGTGTCAGCCCTGGGTGGGACCCGGGAACCCCTCCAGCCCCTGGTCCAGCTCCTCCCTCACCCCTTCCCCTCTGACGTGGGCGCGTCTCTAAGGAGAGAACGTCAGCCTGGCTGGGTCCGTCTCTGCCCCTGAAGCCCCTTGCATGCCCTCCTTTTCACCTGGGGGCCCCAGTGCCGCTGAGTTCCAGGAAACCCTGCCCCTCTCCCGGGGAGAAATTTGGGCATGTAGTCAGCCTCCTCCTGGGAAGCAATTAGAAGCATAATTAAAATGTCGCCCAGGTCCCTCTGTCCCTAGATTGGCTCATTAGAGGTAATGAGGGATGTGGCTAAGACAAGAGTTATGAGTAGGTGGGGTGGTGGCCCCGGGGGAGGGAGGGGGGATGGGCACACACCCAAGCCCAGCAGGAGTGATGGGGTCCCCCAGCTCTGGGAGAAATGGAGAGAGAAATGCACTGTTCAGCAAGGCTCAGGGGGATGGTACCTGGGTGGGAGCTGTGCCTCCCAGACATAGTGTACCGCCCACCCCCCATTCCACCCACATCCACTCACCCAGATTCTTGAGGGTCTGGGAGCAGCCAGCCTCCCTGAGGCTGCAGACCTGCTTTTTGACTTGATGGGAAAGTGCTAGCTGTTTAGGGAGACCCAGGGGTCGGCTGGACCCACACTTTGGGAGCATGCTTTCTGACTGGGGGCTCAGTGGGCACACCAGACAAGCATGGGATAACCAGGCAGGACGAGCCTAGCCACCAACTCTAACCTTGGTTTGCTGTGTGGACTTGGGCCAGTTATTTTCCCTCTCTGGGCGGCTTCAGTTTCTCCATCTTTACAGTTAGGCACTAGCTCAGTCATTTTCAGCTTTTTACCAGAAGTTCTGTTTGTCGTGAGGTACACAAACAGACTGAACAAGAGCTTCCCTGGTTGGGGGCGGATACTTTCTCCCTCCCCTTTGTCTCCGGGTTTTGCCGGAGAAGCCTAGGGCCCCCTCAGGGCACATCTTACCCTAAAGATGTTCTGTAGGGCCCCTTCTACCTCTGACAACTCAGAGCAAGAGCTGGGAACTCTTTCTGGGTAATCATTTAGTAATTTTAATTCAGATCGCAGCTAATACTTCCAAAAATGTGATGGGACCCCAAAACCTTCTGCTTCAGGCAAGGCTGCAGTCATGGCCCAAAGGTGCTCTGGGATGAGTCCCACCCTGGTCCAGTCATCACTGGGGTGTCTCCCCGCTGCCTCCCCAGCTCCTCAAGGGGTTCTGTTCTAATTTGTTGGGTACATGCTGTTCTGCACTGTTCACATGGTAAGGGCTGTGTGTTCTAGGACTGCCACTGGCCTACCGGGCTAGCAAGTGGAGGAGGTGGATACGGACCCACGCGCGGGCTCCAGAGCCCTTCCTTGCAATCACCGTCCCAATCTGGTGATGTCCACTTTGGGACCCGGAATGACCAGGCGGCGCCAGTGACCTGCTGGGCAGAGCAGTGCAGAGAGAGGCCGAGCTGGCAGCCCTGCTGGGAGGGGTGTGCCCAAGAGAAAGGGGGGTGTGCTTCCTGCCAGGTGAGGCACTGGCAGCTCCAGGACCCTTTCAGCAGCTACTGCTGCTTTGCATCATCCAAAGGGCCCCGCAGGTAGTGCCAAGTGTGCTGAGCAGAGCCGCCCCTGCCATTCCCAGGGTCACTCAGGGCTGGCCTCCGTCTCCGTCCACAGCCTCAGGGCCGTGCTCCTGCTGGGGTCCAGGCTGGTCCCATAGGGCTCCCCTTCGACTCCATTCTCACACCCCAGCCACCCCCTCCTCTTCACCAGGGTTGCACCATGTTCTCAGAAGAAAGTGGACACAAGGGATAGGAAAGGAATAGAGGGGTTCAGGACACCTGCGGGAAGGGGGTTCTTAGGATCTTCACATTTTAGCATCTGGTTCACCACCAGCCTCCACCCATTTTACAGTTGGGAAGACAGAGGCTGGAGAAGGCGGCACTGGCTGAAGTCTGGTGAGTGGAGCAGAGCAGAGGCTGTGAGATGGACGGGGCTGGGTTGGCTCTGTGGCGTGACAGACGAGGGAAAGGCTGAGCCGGTAGACTGCGTGGGGCAGAGCTGGGAGTGCGGTCCTTGTCGGGGTGGCAGAGGGGGCGGGGTTGGCTATTTCAGGTGTGTGTGTGGCACCCCCACCCTTCCCCGGCTTACCTCGGCCTTCACACGGCAGCCTCCCAAGTGCCCGGACTCCACACTTGGGCGGGGACCCTTCCTGGCGCAGCGATAACCTGCATGCAAAGTATCCCTGGACCCCGGAGACCCTGAGTTAAGATGCAGGAAAGCGTGGATGAACAACAAGGTCCTACTCTATAGCACAGGGAACTATATCCCATCTCCTGGGATGAACGATAATGGAAACCATAATTTAAAAAAGAACGTCTCTATGTGTAAAACTGAGGCACTTTGCTGTACAGCAGAGACTGGCGCGGCCCAGTGAACCAGCTCTACTTCAACAAAGAAAGAAAGAATTAAAAAAAAAGATGCAGGAAAGCAAAGTTAGGAATAAAAGCAGGAGAGCTTGTCTCTCTACCTCCCCTTTGCAGGCTTCTCAAGGCCCTGTGGCTTCCTGCCAACAGCCAGATGGGAGACTGGGAAGAACGCTTTGGGGGAGGAAAGCTATTTGCAGGCAGATGGAGGTTGGAGGCTTTGCCTCTGAAGCCTGTTGCTCTTACACACGGAGCTTCTGTTCTCCAAGATGGAGACTCCCAGGAGAGGCAGGAGGAGCCAGGGAGAGCTGCCTTCCCGGCGGGACTCCAACCCTGAAATGAACTTGCTCTGTTAAAAAAATGCCCACCAAGGGCTTCCCTGGTGGCGCAGTGGTTAAGAATTTGCCTGCTAATGCAGGAGACACGGGTTCGAGCCCTGGCCCGGGAAGATCCCCCATGCTGCAGAACAGCTAAGCCCGCGGGCCACAACTGCTGGGCCCGCGTGCCACAGCTACTGAAGCCCGCGCGCCTGGAGCCTGAGCTCCGCAACAAGAGAAGCCACCGCGATAAGAAGCCCGCGCACCGCAGCGAACAGTAGCTCCCGCTCGCCGCAGCTAGAGAAAGCCCACACGCAGCAACGAAGACCCAACACAGCCAAAAATAAATAAATAAAATCAAATCTATCTTTAAAAAAAAAAAAAAATGCCCGCCAAGCCCACAGGGCTCTGCTGAATTTTGTTTTGTTTTGTTTTGTTTTGATTTGTTTTTACCCTGCTTTGTTCCAAACAGGATTGGAGGCAGCTTACAAAAATACTTAAAATACAGTAGGACAAAAAATAGAGCAGAGAGAAAACAAGCCTTGAACAAACAGTACAATGAACCAAGAGTGTGGTACACAGAAATGTGCTCAAAGTGGACTGAAAATTGGGCTCTGAGCTTCCTATCAGTCAAAGCGAAAAGGGAAATCCACCCGTTACAAGACTCACGAAGTCTATGAGGTTGGAACAATCCCAGAAGAAGCTTTTTCTGACACTGAGGTCTGAGAGGGATCCCTGTGAGATCTCTGAAGGGGACAGGGGTGGGGTCCCAGTCAGTGTCTTCAAAACAGCCTCATAACAGATAAGGTCATGCAAACCTCATGAAGCTGCATTTCCACTCAGGGTAAATCAAAGACTTGATGCCGGGGTGCAGATCAAGAAAACCAACTCTATGGAGGGTCAGACCCAAGCCATCCAAGTCATTCATCCAAGAGATGCAATTTATTTATTTATTTACGGCTGCGTTGGGCCTTCGTTGCTGCGCGCGGGCTTTCTCTAGTTGCGGCGAGCGGGGGCTACTCTTCGTTGAGGTGTACGGGCTTCTCATTGCGGTGGCTTCTCTTGTTGTGGAGCACGGGCTCTGGGTGCGCAGGCTTCAGTAGTTGTGCGTGGGCTCAGTAGTTGTGGCTCGCGGGCTCTAGAGCGCAGGCTAGAGCTTAGTTGTGGCGCACAGGCTTAGTTGCTCCGTGGCATGTGGGATCTTCCCGG